AAACGTGAGCTCAGAGAGGCATGTGCACTGGCAGACCTCGCTGCCAAACACATCATGATGGGGGCCTCCCAGGTCAGGGGTAGGGGATACGGTTCCGGGCCTCATGAGGTGCGACCCCACATGGGGACTAGTGCATCAAGGGGTGGGGCACCGACTATCCCACCACCCCGTGGGCAGGCAACCCTGTCCGGGTTGCATAAGGGCCCGCCCTCAGAAGGGCAAACCCATGTCAAGGGGAAGAGGGAGAGTGGTAGGCAACCGACAGCAGACCCTAAAACGGGGACCACTGCCAGAGGTGGTGGGCCGCTGAGTACCTCAGCACCCTATGGGCAAGCTACCCTGCAGGGAAGTGTCCACATGCTATATGAGACCACCGAACTCAACGAGTTCGGCAAAGTTGAAGCTCCAGTCGACATAACAATCAACCCCAACTTCCCCATGAGGAGAATAGCGGGGTCAGAAGCGGCACACGATGCCGCATACGCTTGGTGGACAAGCGTGAGTGGGAAAGAATTCATATACTGGTACGAACAGGCCGAAGCTGCCTTCAAAAGCGGCAAGGTACACAGAACCCTTCACGAAAAAGCGAAGGAAACCGAGAAATACTTCTTGGGACTCCCAAGTATTGCAAGACTTGCAGAGGAGTATAATTCCCTGGAGAATAAGGGAAAAATCTCCTGGGAAAGTCTAGGCAAAGCTGCCTACTTAAGGTCCCAGTTCAAACCACTCAGGACTCCTGAGGAACGTGCCGCAAGAACTGCGGAACGGGAAGTGAAAGCTTCCAAATACCAGGAAAGAGACGCAAGTCTCCGTGCTGGACAACCAGCCCAACGACCACCCTTCCCCACAGGAAGAACGGTAGACCTACCGTACTCTACACCTGAGCCAAGTAGCTCAGGAACACAACAACCCGCTCCCACCCAGGGAGCGCCCACTTCGTCGAGCCCACAGCCCGACAATGTAGCCCAGGCTACGTCATCGCATCCGACACAGCAATCAGATGTCCAGATGAACAACCTGGAGAAAAACCCTCCTCCAGGGCAATGACTCCACCCTTGAGAAAAGGGAAAGTGACATGGTAATACGCCATCGAGGCGCCCATGAAAACACCTTCCCCCAACTCAAGGCCCCACACACAATACTGTATGCGAGGAACCACAAGTAACAATTGCGGAAATCTCCACTCCGTCAAAAGACCCACATCCACCACCGCTTGTGTGTAAACACCACACGAACCCTCACAGAACAAGTGAGGAACACCAAAGACATACAACCTTTGGGTCGAAATTCATTTTCGACAAACTCCACTACTTTTCTCCCTGTGATACCCATGTATCGCCGTTCACTTCAAAGTAACGGCCCACACTCATTTATTCCTTAAACCCTCTCTCTCCTTCACCGACATGTACAAAATCGCCCACTTTAAAGTGGTGACAACAAAACACTCATTGGTAATTCCAAACTCAATGTAAATCAATTATTAAAACTTTGTTTTATTCACTATCAACCTTGTATGCATCGCAAATGCAACGCAAGGGGGGAGAATGTCAGGGCAAAAGCCCCGAACCCTGAGCCACATGTAAATTAGATACATATAGTCACATGGGCAAGCGGGAACCTCTGGGTAACTGCTTACACACCACCGTAAAATACACATACTTGTATCACTTACGGCCTTGTGTGCTGAGCTACCCAAAGACCTCACACTAGGACAACAAATTGGTTCCAGCCCATTTTCTGGATGTTGATCATTGAAGTGGCCACGACCGTTGGCTGGTCAATGAGCCCCACTGAAATCGTGAAGGGATGTCAAGCAAGAAGCAAGAATCTATTTCACTCACTATGTGCCGATGTTGTTCATAAATGGATTGATCGCACAGGGCCATGCCCACGTTGGTCTGATGAAATGCTGGTGAAGGTTGCGAAAGAAAACTGCCCAGGAGGGAATATTACAAAGAGGGGGATATTGGTGAGTTAACGACGATGCAAGGCAGTATGTAGGCAGCTGATTGGACTGGGATCTACAGGCAACCCATCTAGACACTGTTGCAGCAATCATGCGGACTTTGTTGAGTGTCCGACAAGCTGGTGCCACATTGGATGCTCACCAAATCCATGGCATTATCATTGCGCAGATTCAATATACCCAGCCAAGTATCCTAACAACAGTTGTGAAGAAGGACGGCAGTGTGTTTGCCGCAAGCATGGGTTGGGTGCGGAAGTTTCTGAAGGAGGAGATGAATTGGAGCTTGCGACGAGCCACACGTGCATCACAAAAGATTCCGTCCGATGTGGATGAAAAAATACGATCCTCGTTGCTTCGGCAAGCCCACTCCATCCGTCAATATGAAATCCCTGGTAGTCTTCATGTGAACTCAGATCAGACACAAGTTATCTATCAGCAGAATGCAACCTCCACTTACAAAAAGAAGGGATCACAGCAAATATCCACTGTTGGCCATGATGAGAAGCGGGCATTCAACCTTAATGTGGCTGTTTCTGCAAGTGGAACTCTACTACCATTCCAGGCCATCTTCCGTGGCAAGACTTCTGTGAGTGTCCCTTCAGCAAGTGCCCCAAGCTACAACGAGGCCATGCGACTTGAGCTTCTCTTCAAGTTCTCCGGGAATGATACATACTGGGCCAACATCTCAACCATGATATCATTTGTAACAGGCATTTTAGTTCCTTATCTCAATGCTGAAAAGGAACGGCTCTCTCTTGATCCACTGCAGGAATGTCTTTGGCAACTCGATGTGTGGTCTGTTCACACATCCCTTGAGTTTCGTGCTTGGCTGTATCAAATGTACCCATGGATAATACTCGACTATGTTCCTGGGGGATGCACGGGTCTCTGGCAGCCCTGCGATGTCGGTATACAGCACTTGTTGAAACATGCTGTGAAGCGGGCCCAGCAATCGGCCGCTATCAAGGAAGTTTATTCCCAATTGCAAAGCGGGGTTGACTCATGCCACATAAAACTTGACACCAAGCTTGGCATACTGAGGGACCGTGTCCCCAAGACTTTAGTGTATGCTTTTCAAGCCATGAATCATCAGGATAGGATTCAAAAAGTGAGTCGATTGCAATACTTAAACTACTTATAAGTATGTGGAGTGCTAACTAGATCCAGGCTTTTGAACTGTGCCGCTCGGGTGATTTCAACCTTTCCCATCACAGTCTAACTTCCCGTCCACTACGCTTAATCCTCGATTCCCTTCACAAAACTGATCTGGATCTTGCAAAGGCGATAACTGCACCATGAAGGCAACCCCTCAATGACACTGATGTCCACCCCGGCTCTGTGTCATATCCCGGAATCCCGACCCCGCACACTCCCACCACATCACACCTTCCTAACAACTTCACCATCCCCTACACCATGCCTCCCCACTCTCTAAATCACCTTCCCTCCTGGCTGTCTCAGCTCCAGTCGGGTTGCGGCACACCGAACCTTGGCTACTCCCATCCCGGAACCTCGGTCCCGAGTCGGAACATTCGGAGACCCCGGATTTGCTCCGATATCCTGACGGACCTCCGACATCCCGTGACATGCCCTTAAACCATTCCCTCGCCCACTTCATTTATTGTAGTCACCCAACATCCTTCGGACACGCAACTCCGCTTTCGGAACTAACCATATCCTTCGGTGATCTCCTTCACGCTATCACTTATTAGTCATCTTCCATTCTTAGCATGACTACCTTCTTACTACCATTCAGTTGGCTAACCCCCCTTCCCCATTTGTCTTCCTCATTCATTTTCCGGCCTCCAACTCCGCCCTCCTTGGCCCGACACCTCGGTTCCCCGTTTTAGATATCGTTCGGAACCATTCGGTACCTCTCGGTATCATTCGGTACCTTTCGGTGTTTTCCCCGTTTTGTCATTTCGGGCTTTGACTAAAGTCCTCCCCATCCACTTTTATAAATACACGTAGATTAGAACCTGTAGTTCCTCAGTTCTAATCTCGACTAAAATGCCACCCAAAGTCCCTCTGAGTGATTCCTGTCTCTGTTCTACAAGACACCTCAGACATAAGAAATACAAGGACTAACAGAGACGTAACGGAGGCACAGCGCTCCCTCCGAGTCGCTGAGGCCGTGTCCTTCTTAGAGCCTCTTGTACCATCCAGCAGAACCGGGCTCCCTGAGGGGCTTCGGTTCATCACCGGAGCCCTCGGACCCCCCTCTAGTTGAGCCCCCGCCTGCATTCGGACTCACGCATTCACCCCTTCTTCCTTAACCGACGGGTTTTTGACACTCTGATTGTATTGCACATGAGGTCGGGTTCGCAGATACTCTGGAAGATGATGCGGATGTGACAGTGGAGGAAGTTTTTGAGTATATGGTAGGGGATGTGGTACCTGATGGGCTTGAGGCAGTCAATGATGGACTGAGGGCGGCATCCACTTGTGCCGAGGAGGCTGAGCCAGATACTCTTGGTGAGACTAGCTCACTTTCCCTTTCTGATCCCCAGGGCTGCAAGCCTCAAGGCCATGGAATGCGAGCCAGGCGGATATGCAATTTGGATGAAGAAATGGCAATTTTTCGTTTTTAAATGTAATTACTTTAAAAGGCAATTTTAAATACATTCACACAGCCACTGGGCAGCCAAGCGCTGTTTGGGCATGACATAAGTTGGCCAGCCTTTTCCTTCATGTGATGCGTGACGTGGCTGTGTTTTGAGCCGGACCTCCTGGCTCTTGTGACGCGTGACAGGTAGTTGCTCATGTGAGTACAGTAGTGCATAGAAGAGACACGCGACCCCCAGTGCAGGGGGCATGTGGTTTGCTGCTGTAAGCCCAGAAAGGTGATGAAGAAAGTGGGGTGTGTGGGCACAGTTCTTGCGGGTGAATTGGGTGAAGGCTCCATGTGTTGTTGGGTTGATACCCCAGGCCTAGGGTTTGGCTATGTCTCGGTTGGCTGTTCGGCGTGACAGCAGTTCTTGTGGGTGGGTTGAGGCGAAGTGTGTTCTTGTGAGATTGTGTCTCAGTTGGTGGTTCAGTGTTTAGGATGGCAGCCGAGGGTGTTAAGTGGCTTCCAGCTCATGTGTTCAATAAAGACATGCGGTGGAGGGGCCGTCGGTTGAAGAGGTAGTGGAGAGAAATGAAAGTTTTGTGGTGATGGCAGCCTGGCGTTACCACTATCACGCCTCGTCCCTCTAAGAGGTAGTGGAGAAAGTGAGAAGGAAGTGAGTTGGGTGATGGCCCTCCTGGCGCTACCACTATCACGCCCCATGATCCCAAGAGGTAGTGGAGAAAGAGGGAAGAAGGGTGTTGGGGTGATGGCAGGACTTGAACCTGCACTCCTCCAGCCTATGGACTTATGGAGGCTACCATTGGCGCTACCACTATTGCACCTCACCATCCTTATGGTCCCAATGTTAACTTCCTCACCCTCTGAGTTGTGTGAGTATTGAGGTCCCTCATATGGGTCCTCCACTTCGACGCTTGATGCTCCGGAGTCACCAGAGTTGTCCTCTGGTTTTTTGTCTGATGAGTCTTCCAACTCTTCTCCTGATGTGTTTGTGATCTCCATGGCAGCTATGTGCCTTGGTTTTTCATCGCTCGTTGCATTATGTTTTGGGAAATCTTTCATTTGCCCTATTTTGCCGCATTTGCCACAAATTGGGGCTGACTTTTGGTCAGTTTTCCTCGAATTTTTCGAGGATGTATCCTCTTTCCATCTGGATTTTGGCTCTTCAGCCTTCTTTCCTGATGGGAGGGCTCTACCATGGCCTGTGGTTGCCGTGGTGGTTTATTGCTTTCAACATCTCCTCATTTGAGGAGATGTCTGCTCTGATTCTGTCATGAGTGATCATTTCCCTCTTCCATTTGAGGGGAATGTTGTTTAAAAACCTGGCATTAAAAGAGGCCTGGTCTGGCGGCGTCACCATCTGGGACACTGCTTTAGACAGTTCTAAGTGGAACTGTTTGAAGCCTTTTTCTGCTTCGTATTTAACGTTGCAGTACTTCTTTGTCACGTTCAACGTGGCAGAGGCTTTGATGAAGGTTCTCATCAGTATGTTGAGAACTTCGAGGAACATGCCCTCATCTCCTCTGAGGAGAGTTTCATCTCGGAGTCTTATTCCGAGGTCGAATGCAGGTCCCCCTAATCTGCAAATCAAGCAGTCCAGATGGACTTCATCAAATTGGGGACCTTTGCATCCTCGCAAGGCAAGGAATCCCAGTAGTTCTGTGAACCACTGCCAGAACGACTCCATGTTGTTCTCCCCTGACCATTTCTTGTCAGGGAAAGCTGGCCCATTCTTTAGAGCTTCAGGCTTCTCCAGGTACTCCTCTTGCTCCCCCGCCTCTGCAGGGTCGCTATCCAATGGGGATCTCTCCTTTGGGGGGGTTTTCGCTGGAGGGAATTTTCCTCGCAGTGTTTCTTTAGTTTCGGGCGATCTCGCCTGAAGTTGTATCTGTATTCTCTCATTGTTTTGAGAGTGTGTGGTTGTGTTACCTCTCTGTTTGAGAGGTTCATCGAAGGTGGATGTTTGGCTGAACCTTTGGTACATGCCAATTCTCCTCCTGATTTCTGAACGGTGCCTTCTTTCGGCATCGTCTTCTCCTATCCTTGGGAGAAGGATCTCCTTAGTGTCTCTGTCGATTTGCTGATGATACTCCAGTGTACTTTCACTGGTTGTTCTTTTCGTGAATTTTCCACGAGTTCTGGTTTTGTCCTGGCCTGTGGCCCAGAGATATTTTTTGTTTCCTCACTATTTTGTGAGGAGTTTATCTCCTTCAGCAAGTCCGTCTGCTTGCTGATTTTGTCAGTCAACGCATCGATTGCATTGGCCATTCTTTGTAGAGTTATCTCTAGACAAGCTGTGCTATTATGGCTCATTTCCTCAATCTTTTTTTGGATCAAGTTTATTATGCGTGATTCCTGGTTTTCCAGGAGGAAATTTGGCTGGGCAAGTGTCATATCCATCCCCGGCCATCGACTTCCGGTCCCTCCGTTCCCTCCGGACTAACTCCGCTCCTTCTTCACTAACCTCGGAGCTCCCGTATTCCGCAATCCTCTCAGTACCCCTCGATGGTCACCACCCCCTCATTTCAATTTATTACCTACGCCTCCCTAAGTACGGAGCCCCGAAGACTTCCGGACAGCTCCGATGTCTGCTAGCGCACTCCTGCCTCCGCTGGGCAATACACTCGCCTGCCCTGCAGAGCCCACCTTTGGGCCTATCCCTCCTTTCCGTTTCTGGGTTATCGCCTGCCTTTCCGCTAACCCCGCGACTGTTAGAACCGGGCTGATTCAGACGACTCCGGAATGGAATTGGAGACTTAGCGTGGAAGGACCTCGGCCTCAGCGACTCAGGCGGAGCGCTGTGCCATTGCTGGTTGTCCTAGGGGTCCCTAATTTCGGATCTAGCAGAGGGAAAGTCTCTTGGGGGGAATTCATGTCGATTTCAGACTGAGGTTACAAGTTACTATGTACATTGTATATAAGGAGGGGTCCGGACTCAAAAGGAGCGAGGGTAGGACGAAAGGAGACAAAGGGAGATGGAAAGAGGAACAACACTGAGGGTCAAGGGTTTGACTCAATGGTGTTTCTCAAAGGAGGAATGAAGGGCCAAGGCCCAAGGAGGAAGGAAGGAGGATGGGAGTGGGGAATGGCTAGCTGACTGAATAGAAAGGAAGCAGCAGCCCAAATAGGAATGAGGGAGACTAGCGGAATTGAATAGGACAATGCAATAGTTGCAAGGTCCGAGGTAAGTCCGGAAAGTCCGAACTCGGAAGTTAAACTCCGGAATATTGGCAAACGTAATTAAATGGAATGAGCTAACCAATACAATGGGTATAAGCGGAGGTGGGGTCAAAGTCCGAGGTCGGAGCTAAGACCGGAGGTTCCGGAGATGGAGACGCAAACGGGATTCCGGAGCAGAGGTCCGGAGTCGGGAGCATAGGTTTTGCGTACTTGTCTGGAAGGTGTCGAGGTTGGGGTCGGACCCGGAATGTTCCGGAGTCGGACTGAAGGTGGTGTCCGAGCCGGAGGTGGGATAACCTCTTGGGAGTCAGCAAGGAGAAAGTGATGGAAGGGAAGTAGGACTCCGGAAGTCGGAGTTCGGAGTTCCAGGAGCCCGGAGCGGAGGTCGGGATTGTATGGATATGACAGCGACCCGACTCGTCGGTAACATTCAGTTGGCTAATGTTTAACCCTGTTAGCTCCGCTCCGTTCGGCTCCGCCATCTGCGGACCCGTCTTCGCTGTAACCATATATATATATCCAACTTGTACATAGGTTACACTCCAGTAATAAAATCGACTAGAGTTACCCCCCCTTCAGTTCTGATTGCCAGTCAGTAAGTTAGGGCACGGACATGTCACTAGGCACAGCGCTCTTGGCATAAGTCGCTGAGGCCAAAGCCCTCCGCCACGGAGACTCTCCTTCGTCTCGAATCTGGTCTCTGACATGACCCAGACATGGAGTTTAGTCCTCTCTTCTTCTGAGAGGCTTTCCGGTGGATTCCACTGGATGGGCTTCAGGATCGGAGCCCTGCATGCTAGACATTTAATCTCATCGAAGCATTTCTGGTGGAGTGGTGTCCACCTGAATGTCTGCTCGTTTGAGCAGATTGTTTGCAGTGGTCCTGTGTAGCCACTGACGTTTGGCATGAATATCGATAGGTATTCTACCAATCCCAAGAATCTTAGGACTCCTGTGTAATCTACTGGCTCTCACCAGTTGCAGATTTTTTCCATTTTATCCGCTTGAGCGTGGATGCCTTGTTCGTCCACACGGCTTCCTAGAATGTCTAGGATTGGAGCAAATGGCTGAAATTTTTTCCGGCTTGTGTAGAATTTCGCCCCCTTGAGGCAAGTGAACAACCACAATAATGCTTTATTGTGGTTCTCCACCGAGCTTGTGCTGGTGAATATATCGTTGAACCAGATGTGTAGGCATCTGCCTACTTCTCCTCGTAGTTCCTAGGTCAGCACACGCTGGAAGGTGCAGGGAGCATTGCAGTCTCCTTGCTGCATCATGTTCGAGTTGTACATCCCGTGGGGCGTAGAGAATGTCGTCCTATGGACATCGTCTGGATCCACACGTATTTGTTTGTATGCATCCAACATATCGATCTTGGATCAGTATGTTGCTCTGGCGACTGATTCTTGGATCAATCGCATGTCTGGCATTGGTGTGATGTTGAGGATCGTGTTTGAGTTACGATTCCTCACATCTATTACCATGTGCAAAGATCCATCTGCTTTATGGATACACAGTAGCGGGCATGCTCGCTCACTGTTTGCGGGATACCACCATCCTGCTTTTACATAGCGATCTATTTTGGTCGCTAGTGCTTCCTGCGTGCTGCAGGACATCTCGGGGTGTTTTCCCAAAATTTCTTGTTCAGATCCTTCAACAGGATTCGATGGTTTACCTCCCTCAAGGGAGGCATTTCTAATGGCGCTGGCACCATTACGGTTTCGAATTTCTCTCTCCACCACTCCCTGAGTATTTCGAACTCAGGGTTGTTCATGGAGAGACCTTCCAGATGTGGTACGTCTGGAAGTTCAAGTCCTTCCAGACTAGGATTGGGCCAGCCTTCAGGGTACTTTCTTTCGATTACCCTGAGGTGTGTTTCAATCCCACCTCCCTGTCAGGGGGGCTTCTTTTTTGGTTGTTCTTGAGCTCTTGCTCGAGTTTTCCATCCATGTGATCTTGTCACATGGTCTTCGCTGACTCCAAGGGTATCTATGTTGCCCTTGTTCACCATTCTCACTTTGTGGGACTGTCATATCCCGGAATCCCGACCCTGCGCACTCCCACCACACCACACCTTCCTAACAACTTCACCATCCCCTACACCATGCCTCCCCACTCCCCAAGTCACCTTCCCTCCTGACTGTCTCAGCTCCGGTCTGGTTGCGGCACACCGAACCTTGGCCACTCCCATCCCGGAAGCTCGGTCCCGAGTCGGAACATTCGGAGACCCCGGATTTGCTCCGATATCCCAACAGACCTCCGACATCCCGTGACATGCCCTTAAACCATTCCTCCACCCATTTCATTTATTTGAGTCACCTAACATCCTTCGCATATGCAACTCCGGTTTCGGAGTTACTGTCAGGGCACACACCCTGACTAGCCCGGACCTGGACCCGCATGTGCGCCTCCGCCCTGCACGCTCCACGCGCCGCATGCTCCGGGCCCGGTTCCTACCCTTCATGTGACTTCCGGGTATCCCCGGAAGTTTTTGCCATATTGGGGCCACTGTGGGAAAGTGAGAAGTTAACCTTCTTCTCACTTTCTTACCCACAGTAGGCAAGTGTAGCCTACTTCCTATTTATCTATACACTTTCTTACCCACAGTAGAGTTATTGCCCAGGACAGGGCTGTTCACAGGTTAGGCTGTGGGCTATAGAGAGAGGGGTCATGGGGACCCGGGGTCCGTCCCCTGACAGTTACCCGCATCCTTCAGTGATCTCCCTCACGTTATCACTTATTAGTCACCTTCCATTCTTAGCATGACTACCTTCTTACTACCATTCAGTCGGCTAACCCCCTTTGCCCATTTGTCTTCCCCATTCATTTTCCGGCCTCCAACTCCGCCCTCCTTGGCCCGACACCTCAGTTCCCCATTTAAGATATTGTTCGGGACCTTTCGGTACCTCTCAGTATCATTCAGCACCTTTCGGTGTTGCCCCATTGTCATTCGGACTTTGACTAAGTCCTTCCCATTCCCCTTTATAAATACCTGTAGATTAGAACCTGTAGTTCCTCAGTTCTAATCTCGACTAAAATGCCACCCAAAGTCCCTCTGAGTGAATCCTGTTCCTGTTCTACAAGATACCTCAGACATAAGAAATACAAGGACTAACTGAGACATAACGGAGGCACAGCGCTCCCTCCGAGTCGCTGAGGCCGCGTCCTTCTTAGAGCCTCTTGTACCACCCAGCAGAACCGGGCTCCCTGAGAAGCTTCAGTTCACTACCGGAGCCCTCGGACCCCCCTCTAGTTGAGCCCCGCCTGCATTCGGACTCACGCATTTACCCCCCCCTTCGAACTCCGGGGTTTTTGACAGGGACTGGAAGTCTAAGCTTACCTGGTTTTTGTTTAACCAAGGGGTGCCAAATATGGCATCGTATCTATCGATGTTAATTACATCGAAGTAGTGTTTTTCTATGTGGCCATTGATCTCAACGTCCACGTTTGTTCCGAACAGGATCTGTGATCTTGTTCCTTTTGTCCCCATTTGAAGGACAACTGGGTTCTCCAATTGGAGAATTGGGATGTGGACCACGCAGACAAAGTCCGGCGATATAGTGTCCGTTTCGGCTCCACTGTCGAATAACGCATAGGCTTTTATGCCTGCTATTTTTATGTGAGCCGTCAGCGTTCTCTTTGTTGAGAGCAGTCTGTTTGCGGGGTATTTTCCTGTGTCTTTTGAGATGCAGAATTCCGCATCAAACAAGGGGGACTGGGTTTCGATGGACTTTTGGTCCTTCTTCCCTTTGTCCTTGTTTTCCTTGGGTACTTTGGTGTATTTCCCCAAGGCGTCTTTTCTTGGTGCTTCCACCAAGGCTTCAGCGACTTTTTCGTCTGCCATGTTTTCTAACTGGCATGCTACTGCCAGTTTGATTTTGTAATTTATGTTGTCATGATCGACGACTGACATTGGGCCCATCCTTATGGTCCCAACGTTGACTTCCTCACCCTCTGAGTCAGGTGAGTATTGAGGTCCTTTGTATGGGTCCTCTACTTCGAAGCTTGATGCTTCGGAGTTACCAGAGTTGTTCTCTGGTTTCTCATCTGATGAGTCTTTCGACTCTTCTTCCATTGAGATTGCGATCTCCATGGCAGCTATGTGCCTTGGTTTTTCATTGCTCGTTACATTGTGTCTTGGGCAATCTTTCGTTTGCCCTATTTTGCCGCATTTGCCGCAAATTGGAACTGACTTTTGGTCAGTTTTCCTCGAGTTTTTCAAGGATGTATCCTCTTTCCATCTGGGTTTCAGCTCTTCAGCCTTCTTTCCTGATGGGAGGGCTCTACCACGGCTTGTGGTTGCCGTGGTAGTTGTTCGGGTATAGTAACCCGATTTGTAGGCTGAAGGCATCTTCAGCCCATCAATTATCTCATCTACATGAGATATTGCTTTTAACATCTCCTCATTTGAGGAGAAGTCTGCTCTGATTCGATCATGAGCAATCATTTCCCTCTTCCATTCAAGGGGAATGTAGTTTAGGAACCTGGCATTGAAGGACACCTGGTCTGGCAGCATCACCATCTGGGATGCTGCTTTGGACAGTTCTAGGTAGAACTGTTTTAGGCCTTTTTTCTGCTTTGTATTTGACATTGCGGTACTTCTTTGTCGTGTTCAACGCGGCAGAGGCTTTGATGAAAGTTCTCATCAATATGTTGAGAACTTCGAGGAACATGCCCTCGTCTCCTCTGAGGAGAGTTTCGTCTCGGAGTCTTATTCCGAGGTCGAATGCGGGCCCCCCTAATCCACGAATCAAGCAGTCCAGATGGACTTCATCGAATTGGGGACCTTTGCATCCTCACAAAGCAAGGAATCCCAGTAGTTCTGTGAACCACTGCCAGAACAATTCCATGTCATTCTCCCCTGACCACTTCTTGTCAGGGAATGCTGGCCCATTTTTTAGGGCTTCAGGCTTCACTCCTTATGGGTAGGGAGTGAGTATTCTCACTTCGGCCATTCTTATGGCCTTTTTGTACCATTTCTCCAGGTACTCCTCTTGCTCCCCTGCCTCTGCGGGGTCGCTATCCAATGGAGATCTCTCCTTTGGGGGGTTTTCACTGGGGGAAATCTTCCTCGCAGCGTTTCTTTGGTTTCAGGCGAATTCGCCTGAAGTTGTATTTGGATTCTCTCATTGTTTTGAGAGTGCGTGTTTGAGTTACCTCTCTGTTCAAGAGGTCCGTTGTAAGTGGACGTTTGGCCGAACCTTTGGTACGTGCCAATTCTCCTCCTAATCTCTGAACGATGCCTTCTTTCGGCATCGTCTTCTCCTATCCTTGGGAGAAGGATCTCCTTAGCGTCTCTGTCGAGTCGCTGATGATATTCCAGTGTGCTTTCACTGGTGGTTCTTTTCGTGAATTTTTCACGAGTTCTATTTATGTCCTGGACCATGGTCCAGGGGTGTTTATTTGTTTCCTCACTTTTTTGTGAGAAATTTATTTCCTTCAGCAAGTTTGTCTGTTTGCTGATTTTTTCAGTCAACGCATCGATTGCGTTGGCCATTCTTTCTAGAGTTATCTCTAGACGAGCCGTACTATTATGGTTTGTTTCCTCAATCTTTTTTTGGATCAAGTTTATTGTGTTTATTATGCGCGATTCCTGGTTTTCCAGGAGGAAGTTTGGTTGGGCGAGCAGAGACTCTCCCCAGTTGACATTTCCACTTCTGGGGGTTCCAGAATGGGTTCTTGGAGTGAACACTCCATGCTCACTTTGTTTAGGCGAGGCCATTGTGGAGGGTGCTTCCCTTTCATAGAGGGGTCTGTTCGCTGGTTTTTCCTTACTTTTATGTAAGGCTTCCTCAGCGAACTCCCTCATTTCAGTTCACCTCCTCTTCATTATCTCGGAGACCTCCTCCGAGGTTGGCAACCTTGCCTTGTCTGGCATGGCATGTGGGAGTGTAAACAGCAGAAGTTCTTTTGGAGCTTCCGCGCTCTGGGAGATCCTGCTCTCAGGGGGTATCTTCGTGCCTTCTCGGGCTTTCAGCCTGAGAAGAAGTTGGTCTTCGCTTTCCATCCTCCATTCGGACGGAACCTGGAATAAGTCCAGTAGTTTTTTGGATAGCCGACGTGGGGGCTCTTCCCTTTGTTTCCCTTTGTCTGCCTTTGGGGCTTGACTTGGGGACGTGAGGGGGGACTCCAGGGGATAGTGGGGCCCTGGAGTTTCCTGCAACTCTATCCGATCAGCTTTTTGGGCTGATTGTTCGGCGCTTACGCGTTTATCACGCAAGTTGATCACCTTGTGAGGCAGTGAGGGATCTTCCCCAGCTTGGGTTAGATCAGTATGTCGTGGAGTTCTGGGGGTATTAGGCCCCGCACTTACTCCATGTAAGTTTCTAAAACCTTCAGGGGCCAGCCCTGAGGTGGTTGCTAATGCTGGATTGTGTTGATCCTTGTCATCATCTGACAATGGCTTTTGGTTTGAATCTCCCATGATGGGAGATTGCGGTTTCTTAATGAACCGCTCGTTTCTTTTTAGTGTCGCTGCAGATGTGACCTTACCCTTGTGGGCATGTTTAGGCGCCATAAGCGCTACCGAGTCAGATGTTAAGAGTAGATAGTTGTTGTGGGTTGTGTTGTAAAACACACCTCATACACTTAAAAAAGTGTGAGGTCTTTGGGTAGCTCAGCACACAAGGCCATAAGTGATACAAGTATGTGTATTTTACGGTGGTGTGTAAGCAGTTACCTGGAGGTTCCCGCTTGCCCACGTGACTATATGTATCTAATTTACATGTGGCTCGGGGTTCGGGGCTATTGCCCTGACACCTAGCAAACTTTGGCGTTGTTTTTCTGGGAGGCTGGACGACATTTTGCACATGGTGAGTTGCCCTCTGGCGCTTCTGGTCCTTCACCCATTCCTCAATGCAGCGTTTTGGCCATGACATCTCTGCGATCACAACTGAGCTGCTTGAAGTCCTGGGGTCCATATCCACATCAAGCATGTGCTAGGATGATCTATTAGAAACTGTGGCAACCTTGATGAATCAACTTCCTTCACCTTTTTTTTGCATCACCATCTCCTTCTGCCAACACTGCTCAGCAATGCTGTTGTCGTTCTTGTGCATTTGCTCGCTTCCATTCAACTTTCTTCCTTGCTTCCAGTTCCTCTTCCACCCTCCGTTCTTCAGATCTCTCACCAATCCTTTCAAATCCAATCGATGCTTGTCGATCAAATTCTTCACAACTGACATGGCTCAAGAATTGCAGCAACCCACGGCTGTCAGGGTACCGAGCTGCTCAGACTCTAAGTCGAGGAATCCTGAGCCTTCGCTGGAGCTGACGCCGAGGGGGACAGGATCAGTCTCAATGGGGGAACCCAGCAAAGCGGATTGCGATAGGGATTCCAGCTGAGCAGCAAGGGGAAGTGAGAGAAGAAAGTTATCTTCCTCACTCGCTACCCAGGGAATGATAAAGTCAGTATACCCGGCAAAACGGGGCCGCTCTGCAGAAGGAAATATAACAAATGTCTGTGCCAGTCCAGGGATGATGATCAGGCTGTGCAGGTATGGGGCAGGTGTGTCATCAGTTGTGTGTAAGCAGTCCGGACTTAACCGGGCTGTACTCTGACAACGGCCCTCTTCCCCCTCCTGGATGGTGAAGTCCAATTTTTTCTTTTTCTCCTTCGGTTTCTTGACATCAGAATTGGGCAAGGTGCCCATTGGGGCTGGGCTACTTGGCAAGGCTGCAGGGCTGGTTGACTGTGCCACAGATGAGCACATTCTTGACGTCATTGGTGTTGGAGCTGGCTTTGTTGAATGCTCAGCTACTGTGAATGGGACTGTCTCCGCTGGGGCAGCCATCACTTCCATGATTGTTGTTGTCATGTGGACTGATGTCACCTTGGGTTCAATCATCGATGCCATTGGCATTTCTGCCACAGAAGTCACTGCTGGGGCAGGTGGTTGTCAGGGACGCATCCGGGGTAGAAGGGGTCCGGATGTATCACCTGGCAGAAGGGCCCTCACGGGGTGCGAACCGGGCATGCGTGCTGGCAGGTCCGGGAAGGGACAGCAGTCCCTGCCCACTTAGACTGAAGTGGAGAATGTGTTATTATTATTAAAAGGGAAAACTATACTACTTACCTGAAGTGGAGAATGTGAGAAGAAGGTTACTTCTTCGGTTCCCACTTCAGGTACATTTATGTACATGCAGCTTGAGTCACATGATGAGTGCCACGTCATCCTTGGAGACAGCCGCGGGCATCCGGGTGTCCCCATGGGGGATCCCAAGAGCGTCCGCTGCATGCGCTTGTGCTGGGCACAGCGGGAAGCCATCTGGGGTGTGTGGGCCGGACGGGTCAATAGTACATTGATACAAAGGAAGGTGGTCTGTGTAGATAGAAGGGAATAAACAAGAAAAGGAAGATAAGAGGAATGAGATAAAGAAAGGAGAAGAGAGAGAGAAAGGAAAGGGGGAGAGAGGGAGGAAGGAGGGGGGAGAGGGTTGGACAGCGGGGAGCAGGTGTGGTGTGGCTGGGTGGGTCCGGGTGGACCCAGGTCAGGTGGGTGTGCCCTGACAGTGGTATCTAATCACAGTGTGGTGAGTCCCCATTTGATTGCAGTTACACGAGATTACTTACCTGTTCAACATGATGATTGAGGATTGCCATCAAAAATTCAACATGCAACATAGCAATGTCATTGCTAGCATAGAGTGAGTATTTGGTTGGGATGAGATGGTGCATCAGGGCATTGAGGGCAAAGAAGCCGCATGAGGAGGAATCATTCTGGTGAGCAACTGGGAGTGAAGTGATTCGAAATGTGGGTGTTGACTTGTTCAATCCAGAATAGGATTCATTGAGCCACCGTTGAAGAATGTTTGCCACTTCCTTTGCTGCAACAGGTAAGTCAGCACCTCCTGTTTCCCGATGTAAAGAATCCGCAAGGTAAATCACTGATTCCTTAGGGAAAACTGAAAATGCGATCCAGTGATTATTATTAGCATGCATGATTCCACCAAATTGGGATTCAGATCCAGATGAGAGCTCTGACCCCAATTGACGGAGATCTTTACAAAAGCCTGGCCTTTACATCACTGGCCACCAAGGCCATTGCAAGAAGCTCGATGTGGTATGAGATGTCAGTTGTCACAAGACAAGAGAAAGTGAGGTGATGCATCAGCCCTCCCACAGTACTCAGTGCTGACTTTGAGAATCCAAGCACTTTTGTGTTCCAGTTGCATGATAGAAGCTGCTTTTGAGCCACCATGATAGCAACACGGTGAGCAGAGTGATGGTTTGCCCATGCCTCAACTAACTTCTCTGATTCTTTCCAGAACCTCTGGACATTCTGTACTCGAAATATGGTTTCCCAGACACGGAGAATGTCGATAGTGGTATAACGTATGCCGATTTTGACGGAATGAGGAGGGTTGGTGTGGTTGGGATCGTATTGAGAAATCAGCTCTTTTATCACTGGGCAGGGAGGGCAGGGCATGTTCCGGAGTTCATGCTCACTTAATTCTTTGATGGATGGTGGGCAAAGACTGAGACATGCAGATGTCTGTAAATTTGTTTGGAATGATGGGAGTTTGAACTGGAGGAACTCGGTGACAGTCAGGGTTTTGTTAGGAAAGTAGGGCCCAATGAGGGCTTTTGGGATGCCGCTGTATGAGATAGGCTCATCTGTGCAAGAGCAGATGCGGTGTGCAAGAGAAAACCCATCCATATGTGATACCAGTGAGTGAGAAAATTTTTACGGGGACAGCAAACGTGTTTCAAATTTTTGTATTTACTGGTTGCCAAATATGGCTTGAGATCAATATAAAATAAATCTGGCTTGGCCAACTCCGGGCACTGCTTTCCTTTCAAGTCATGCTTGCCGGTTGGGTGTCACACATAAACACCTACTACTCGTGACCCAGTCAATATAAAATGGTATCATGGGGTTACCATCCAACCTACCTTCTTAGATAGTATTCAAGCGTTTGAGTGCATGCACCCATGCACTGGTGCACTGAGAGAAAAATATGTTGGGAAAGTGATTTACAGAGGGGCCCGAGAAGCTCTGGGGTGCCCGTGATCGGTTTTTTCAATTACAATACAATGCGCAAGCACTTCAGCGCCAAATGTATTGCCGGCATCGTCTCCCAATCTGTTGTCATCGCCACTGCCATCGTCGACAACATCAAAGTCAATCTTCACAAATTTCGCATATTTTTTCTTTGTTCTTTTTCCTGCTTTGCTGGCAAGATAATTTATTATATTAGCCTTAGCATTAGTGTTTGTCATTGTTATTGTTCAATGTAACAACAGCGTGCAAGGTGCAAAGCGGTTAGAAAAAGCAACAGACTGTACAAGCGAGCACTAAAGAGGACACAGTGAGAAAAGATGGGTGAATGACAGAGAGAGGTACGAGTAAACTAGCAAAAAGGGAAGACACTATGTAATAGTGGCATACAATCAGCCTCACAACAGTGAATCAAGGAGGTGTGAAATAAGTGTTTATGCACGAAGTTGAAGGCAAAAAGCATGCAGGGTGCAAATGAAAGAGCATAATAATTCTGGCCACACCACCTTATGTGTTATGGAAATGGGAAATTCCCATTTTTAGCCTCTTATGGCCTCTGTACAGTGTATTATCACGTGACATGTATATAATAACAACCTAACCAACGATTATCACCCAAAATACCTGATGTCCATGTTATTGTAAACACCACTGTTACAACATCTGTTACATTAATTGTAACATCTTCTCAATGTCACGGCCCCCTCCTGCACCCGAACGCTATAGAAATGGGCCAATTAGGCCCCATTTTTATAACATTATGGCTATATGCCCAAGCAATGTTAAGCGCCGTCAGTCACCCAGAGATCCCAGCACCTTCCCTCATAGGAAAGTGAAATAAAACCCCATAGATAAGCAGCTGTCCAGTATCCCACAGATTTTGAGCCACACCTGTGAAGTTCATTGCTGCATGGTGTTAGCCGCCCAGCGCTCATCTTGAGTCAAGCATGATTGTGGACAACCATGGTCGTGATCTGAGTCAGAATGTTGTTTGCATGTTATGGCCAACCATCTTTGCCGATTACAAACCCAGATGAGAGGTTAGTAGAGCCTGGGGAATATTCATGACAGACCGTGCCAGGATTAAGAGTGCACACGCACCAATTGAATAGTACACTATACTACTTTGTATATCACTCAATATGTTCCTGCCCTGTCCAACCCACCCTCTCCCTCTGTGTGTATCTCAAAGCTGGCATTTGGATCAAGCAAACAGTTTTCGTCCTGACCATTCTGTTGTTAGAAGTTCAATGATGACTGATGGCACTTAATATGGCTTTGGCCACTGTGGACATAAGGTGGTGTGGCCTGGACTATCGCTTTTTTTCTTTTACTCTATTTCCATTCCTTGGGAGCTTTAGGGCCCATAGAATACGGTCTTTCATTGATCCAACACCCCCTCAGTTCACTCTTGCCAAACTTGGGGTGGAGCATTATTAAGACTCTTACTAACAAATCTTCTACGGTTGTAGGCACTTTATCTCACATCCTATCCAACATTATCATTATCCTGTTATGCCAATGGGGATAGGACTATCGGCACACCATTGGAAGGATTGTGAATGCGTTGGAAAGTATGGATTTGGAATCAATGTAATAATTACCATATCAATGAACGTAGCGGTAGGGTTAATACATGGGTAGTAACAATGCAAGCAGGAAAAAGAACAAAGAAAAAAGTATGCGAGATTTGTGAAGATTGACTTTGATGTCGTCGACAACGGCAGCGGCGATGATGATGGATCGGGAGACGATGCCGGCAATACATTTGGCGCTGAAGTGCTTGCGCATTGTATTGTAATTGAAAAAACCGATCACGGGCACCCCAGAGCTTCTCGGGCCCCTCCGTAAACCACTTTCCCAACATATTTTTCTCTCAGTGCACCAGTGCACTCAAACGCTTGAATACTATCTAAGAAGGTAGGTTGGATGGTAACCCCATGATACCATTTTATATTGACTGGGTCACGAGTAGTAGGTGCGCATAAAAATGGGATGCCGGCTGGGAATTTTGTGTCACGCTTGGGACCATGCCGGTAGTTGGTCATGTGAGTACAGTATTTCTTCACTATGCTTTACATTTCTCCACATCATTTGTTACTATTTTCCAGTGCAGGGGACGCACGTCCTTATGTGCTATTTCTTCACTCCGCTTTACTCTCCATACCACCTGATACTCGATGTCTCATCCACCCATTGACACTTAACTCCTCTCCACCTACTACTTTCCAAACATTTTTCACCTGCGTCATTATAGTACGGCATATGCCGATAGGCACAGATTACCTGCACAGCAGTGTCACTCTCCACCTAGTGAAATTACGTAGTTTGTGCCACTTGTGCTTACGTGTTTGACTCTTCTGTGACATCACGTGTATGATACAATTGAGTTGGTGTGATCAATTCTGCGTGACTCCTCCAACAGCCAATCCGATCAAACGTTCATCTTCCATCTCTAGTGTCTCGCACGATGTCTTCGTGAACAATGTAACGTACACGTTAAATGGTGTAAGGGTCCCTCTCAAGGGCATGCCGATGTACTCGATAATCTGTAAAAGCGTAAGTAAATCCATCGTTATCGATCACTTTCTTGTCTCCATTGCGCATGTTTACCTCGAATGTTCGTTGGATGGGAAAGACTGGAATCGTTGACTCTCCCAGCTCTTCTATTTCCGAACTTCGATATCACTCTAATTTCACTAGAGCGCAACTCGGTGGGTATTTCATTTCTTGCACCGCACCCGTCGTGTCTGAGTCTTCCCAAGGATCAGCCCATATTCCAACTATCTGCCCTTGAACTC